ATTATATTATTTCAATTCAATCTTTTTTTTTATTTTAGATTCAAAAATTAAAATGAAAATAATGTATTATATGTCAACTCTTTCTTATCGTTTAGTACTCACTCACCCATTGTACATATATATGTTGTCATTACCCATTGAGTGTTATCATGGTTTGATTAGATCCCACACAAGACAAGGTAATTGCAGGCAAATTATTTATGTATTTAATTTCACTTATAGTTTCTAAGTACTTTAGTTTATAAAATTATATTAAGATACACTTAATAGTTGTGATATTTAAATATTTATTTTTTATCTGTACTTTAATTTTATTCATCAACTATACATTAAATTTTTATATTATTATAATATTTATGTGAAGTTTTATAAACATATTTTTCTTCATAAATATTTTTTTTAAACAAGTCTAGGTACAAGTATGCAAATACTGAAATAGTATGTATATGAGGATTAAAGTTATTACTCACAAAAATATGAGACTTGATACATGTATTATTTTAAAATACAAATATGAAAATGAATATTACCTTACTCAAACCTTATTCATTATCATTCATATGTGAAAGTTTTTAAAAGAAATTGAATTATAATATTTATAATTATTTAAAAATATATAATTATCAACATTTATATTTTAATTTAATAACTATTTATATATTTTAATAAATTATTTTATCAAAAACTTTTAATATAATTAATTAATTTATCAACTTTCAATTTTTAATCATCTTTTAAACTTTACACTACTCTTTCAACTTTTAGTTAATACATTTATTTATTATTGTTGTCGAAAAATGATTTTTTTTGTGGGCTAACTAACGGACTTACAGCCCATTGTTAAACAAACTTTAAATTTATTTTGAGCGTTAGCGCAAAAGATGAAGATAGAAGTCAAAACTGAAAAACATTTTTTTTCAAATTTGATTATTTAATAATATTTCTTCTTTCAAAATAAATTTAAAAAAAAGTAACGTTTATTTCATTTACAGCACATTTAGATCTTTTGAAGTTTATAATTTTCAAGATGCAAATATCTTGGGCTCCTTAATTTGTTAAACACTTAGCAAGGCATCTTTGGCAGATAGAAAAATGTTAACTGCACAATAAATTTGTATAATTTTGGTTATAAAATTTTAAAGAATTAATAAGAAAAGGAAAGAGAGAAGAGAAAGTAATGTGCCAGGAAGAGATAGGAAAAAAAATATTATAAAAATGTGTTCTAAAAATATTTTCATTCCAAATAAATTATTCTTTTTGCTGCAATATATAATATTATAGGTAGAGATGAGAACTGGACTCTGATTAGATGGATATTTTTAAAAGAACAATAGATAAAATCTTTATTTATAAATATAATTTTAGTTCATTGAAAGTGCAAATTTTTTTACAGTTAATCAATCAAAATATATTATAAATATAAATTTTATATTAATTACTATAAAAGTTAATGATTCTTTATATAAAAATTTAGAATTAAATAATAGTGTTGAAAAAATATTTATATAATTAATGTATTTAAATTAAAGTCTTTATTACTAAATAAAGACTAAACCTTGATTAAGAGGATTAGAAAAAAATTGTATATAAATTAATTATTTTAGGAGTAATTGTGAAGAGAAAAGATAAATATTTAATAATGTTTTTATATTTAATCAACAATTAAATTCATTAAAAAGCATGATTTGATATTTTAATAAAATATAATTGATACAATTATTTTATATATTTTGTCGTGTGTATTTAACGCATAAATTAAAAATATTAAATATATACTTTTAACACTTGTAATTGCTTAAAAAAATTAAATAAATATTTTTTTAAATATTATAAATATTTAAAAATAAATAAATTTATATTGTTTCCTTCACCTACACATTTGATTCTAATAAATAAAATTGTTAATAAATTTTGATTATAATAAAAGCAAAAAATATCAAATATTAAACATTATCTTATTATGATAAATTTCATAATTACACTTTAAATTATAATAATATATTTCAAAGTTAGAAAAATATCACTTGTAACTAATCATGAATTATTGTAAATTCTTTTAACTCACCTTTATTTTTATCTTTATACATAACTTCTTTTTTAATTTTGATTTCTACACATAAAACATTTTTGTACTATTGTTTCAATAATTAATATTATTTTAATTTTAATTAAAATATATTTTTTATTTCTATAAAATTTTCTATGTTTATAGTTAGTTCTTAATTTTTTATTAGAATTTAATTCTTAACAAATTAAGTAAATAACAAAATTTTTCCTTAACATTTATTTTCTTCCTTAGTGTTCATTTGAGGGTACTGATTCTATGTAATTTTGATGTAAATTATATAATATGCACAGTGTATTTTTATTTAAGCTGAAATTTCAGCTCTCTTTCACTCCCTCCCTCTCTTGTACTTCTATCCACCCTTTCTCTCCCTTCTCCACCCACTTTCCCTTCCCTTTTCAAGCAAAATTTACTTATTTCTTTTGGGTAATTTTTTTGTATTAAACAAAATTGAGTATATCCTCTCACTCTTCCTTTCCTTCCTAAACAAAAATTTCTTATTTTACTTAAGTGAATTTTTAGGATTAAGTAAAAATAACTTTTTTTTTTTACTTATTTTGCTTAAACAAATCTTGATTTGTTTAAATAAAAATGCATTCAAAATTGCAGTACTGCAAAAAATAACTTCTGCTTTCCTCTCTCTCCCCTTCTCAAGCAAATTTTTTTTACTTTCGTAAAATGATTTTTTTAAAATTGAATAAAAATTAATTTTTTACTTATTTTATTTAAGCAAATTTAAATTTATTTAAATAAAAATGTATTGTAAGTTGTAATTTGTGCCAAAATTAGAGATAATTTGTATCCTTTATTTAATTAATAGATTTCTAAAATATTAATAAGTGTCTTTTTAATTCATGCCTATTTGTTGAGTTAAATAAAAGAGTTTCAAGATAACATTCTCACATGTGAAATACTTAATATATCATTATTTTAATTAACACAATTAATTTTTTAAAATTATATCTCTCATTTACTTTTATTGATTTGCTATAAGATACATGATTTACTTTTTTACTTACTTAATTTTTTAATAAATAATATTAATACTTTTTTAGGAATTAATTTAAAATGCAACAACTTTTACAGGGCTTAAAACTTTTTATTTCAAAATTTTTTCAATTATGTATGCTAATTAGGACAAAAGTCTACCATATGACAACACTTAAAAATTTATTCTTAGTTAACTTAACACTTAACTGATAAAAATTAACTTTAGAGACTAATATTTTTCTTTTCTAATTTACTAGAAATTAAATTTTAATAATTTTAAATATAATTTTTTTTTATGAAAGTCATTTAATTTTTGTTATAAAGACTAAACATCATTTAAACTATATTTAAGAAAATTGAGAATTTAAAATCATGTAATGGTGTGTGAACAATATATATATCAACAAAAGCAAGTATCTAAATTTAATAATTTTTTGTTAAAAAATTCTTATATTAAAAATGAAAAAGTGTAATTAAATATAATTTTCAATAATTTTTATTATTATTAATTACTTAAATTCAATTTAAAGACTTAACATTAAAATTATTCTAATATAAAATCACGTTGAAATAAATATGCTATTATTATTGATTTATCATATAACAAAGCTTCAATGAATTTGTAATAGGCAATATTTAGTTCACCAAAGTCCATGGCAAAGAAATGGAATTAGGTCATTTCACAAACAAAAATTTAATTTAAAAATTATTTTATGGTTTTTATTTAATCATTTATTGCCACATTATTTAATTTGTTTGTACTTTTTTAAAATAAAAATATTTTTTAAAAATATGTTAAAAAGGTTATAATAATTATATAAGTATTTTTAACAACTAAAAACCTAAAATACTCGCAAGAAATTGCACCATTTTTAATAAAGTATACCCAAACTCCTAAAAAAGTTGTAAAAGATTGCACCATTTTTAAAAAATATTTACATAGTAAAATTCATTAAATAATAAGTATGATAATTTTTTCTTATCTTTATTCAAAATAAACTAAAGGTCATAGATCGGCCAAAACCATTTTCTACGCAACTTGTTGATTGGCCAAAGGCAATAAAATGGACCCCAATTTCCCAAACTTATCATCTCTGGCTAGGACCTGTTTTGCAGCATTCTTTCTCAAAAGAACCTTTTCTTTGCTCGCCTTGAACGGCATTCGAATTTCAAGCACAAATTGTGAATCACCAAATATTCAACTAAAAATGATCTAAAAAGCTTTCATAATAATTGGCATGCAATTGTTACAAGATACTAGTAATTGTTTCGGTATTGTAATTGGTAGTCTGAAAAATTCGTTAGGTTGGTGGTTTTGGGCTTTGGCTTTTGAATGGTAAATTGCTTAATACACATACCAACTAGCTCATGTTTTTCCATTAAGCTAAAGTTTGGGTATAATTTAAGATTTTACTTTAAATACACTATCATTGTAAAAAATTATATCACACTATTTTAATTTAACAAAATATGGCTTTTTTCCAACATTAACTAAATGAAAATATTTTTAAAGATTAATACCACGATAAGATCTTACCCTTCTGCCGTTTTCCAATTTGTCCGTGTTGAACTTGGGATTCGTTCTTGTCCTTGGCATAGTTGAGACGACAAATCACTTACCACAGTGAATTGACAATAGAAGACATGAGCATTGTGGTGAAGAAGTAAACGTTCCATAAATGATAAATCACCCGTGAAAAATACAACTGTCTAAATATAATGCCACAACAATGAGTGAAGATACATCCAATTTTGTCCCTTCAAAACGAAGCACTGGTCGCTATTAGCACATGGCCACGCAGGCCCACCAAAATAAAACCATTAGGAATTTTGAATCAAACACAATTTCAATTGATACCTAAGAAAAATTACATTCCTAATAAGAGCAAAGATTAAGATTTACAAATGCCATGTTGGAGATCAATCTTTTTTGTTCACATTGGAGTTAGGTGGATAGTACTATGAAATGCATGCCTAGTATCAAATATAAAAATAACAAATGAAGAAAAATTGGTGCTTGTAGCTTGGTTGATGAAGATTGATCTGACATTTCGGAGGAATCAACGGCAAGAGGCATTCCATCACTGTTTAATGTGCATGATTGTGGGTCAGACCCATCAGTGCTTAACATCAAAGCACGAAGAACCCCAGAAACTGTGTGAATGTAAGCTCTCCGATTCTTAGCCAAAAGCCATGTCAAGCCCATGAGTTCACAGTCTTTGTTATGGATCTTGGTGGTCCTATCTTCTGATTTGCTTGAATTTGAAGGCTTCTTTCTAAGCTGTATAGAACCAATATTTTTTTCAATTAAAATTTTTAATACCATCTTTATTCATATATTCATGTGTGTGTAAGGGGTCTTATTTTCTAATGTGCAACAATTTTTTTTTCTTTTTCACATTAACAACTTTAACCCTACAATTCAGCATGTAACACTTGCTTATTTTTAACCATCTACCACTAAAGTCATTCTTACATAAACGCCACATCATTAAGCATAAGCAGGTTTGGTGCATCTAGATTTGTTAAATTGCACTCTTGATTGGTGCAACATTCACTCAGAAAAATGGTCAATCTGCACATCGAGGCTGTTTATTACCAAAAGAACGCCTAGGATAAGTTTCAACTAACTAATTATTCGGCTTGGAAAGGTGTATGAGTTTTGGTTAGAAAATAGATGGGGTTGTGAAGATTATAATAGTGGGACATTATGCTATGATTAATTTATTTTGTGTGAAGCAATACTCAGAATAATATCTTCAAATGCAACAAGCAACATTTAGAACACGCTGAAGAGCCCAACAATTTTCAAATAATAAATTTAAGATTCTTAAAAAATGCGTGGATTTTTTTTACATGGAAATAGGCACAATCGACAGCAATTTTACAGACTGTGAACTATAAATCAGAAACAGGAACGATAAATCCAAATATGAAAATAGATATTATATCATATAATGCCAATGACTATGAGTTAAGTAGCAAGATGTGGATCAAACTCGTGTCAGGCAATGTGTGAATAGAATAGTTAAGAAGACTCAGAGGGATAATCAGACATCGGTTTTACTCCTTCACAGTCAATTTACAAGGTAGCAGCAAGTGACAGGCAAAAATAATGGATTAAATGTACAACTATGTCACTGCAAACCATCATTAATGAATGAGTTTGTTGCATTTAAGACATAAAACTTTTGTCGTAAACAATAGCTTATTTTACGCATGACATAACTATTTTACTTATATAGTTATCAACCAAGGTTATCAAGGGTGGGGAGGAGGAGAACTAGCAAAAAAGGACTAGTGCCAACAAAAATTGCTTAACACCAAGAATCTACAAACTTCTATTTATTTTGACGACAATGTAGTGACATTGCATGTGCTTAATCTATTATTATAGGCACGCATGATATAGATTTTTTAAGGACCTTGATTTGAAGACATCCAAATCATTTGACTAAACTGTAGCACTAATGGTTCTGTTAACGTTCGTAAACTACATATAAAATTAAAGGCGCGTAAAGGATAGTGCCAAAGCTGACAGCAACCACTATCCCAAGTAAAGGAAGGCAAAGAGATAACTTTCCCAATCACAAGGCATATTTAGATTGAAGATTTCATGAAGATGAAATCTTGATCAACTTGATCTTCTTCAATTTTGAATAAAGATTCGTCAAATTCCAAACAAACAAGTACTAAACAATGCTAAAAAAAAGAACAGCAAAACAAAATGAGAAGAGAGAAGAACAACTTACCAAGTAGAGACTACGCAAGCATTTGGAACATCCTCCGAGACCCGGAAATTTGTTGACATTGGTGCTGCTACTCAAGCAATTTCTCTCCAATCTCTTCACACTTTCACCCTCAACAAGATTCCCACTTGGAGTAAATGAAAATGATTCAGGACAGGTCAATGGATGCAGCCTAATGCCACAGTAGCAATACACCACATCACAGGTCTCATTTGGTTGAACAAGCTGAATTCCTTTCAGTTTCAAAGCCTTTCCCAAGTCACTCACACAGTTTTCAGAGTCATCAGGGAGCAAGGGCATGTCATAGGATGAGGCATGGCTTTGTGAAGCATGTTTCAGTCCACCACTAAGAGCAGTGGCAGAGTAAGCAGAATAGAGCCATGCAGCAAGCACAGGACAACATCTGCTACGGTGGAGCTCTTTATCTGCACCATCTTTGTTGGACCCACATGCACTCTTTATCCCTTCATAGTGTTCATCTGAGAGGCTCAGAGGACACCCTTCAGTATCAGCTTGTTCTGGGAATGCTGGGATTGTTCCTGTTGAAGATGGGTTTGGGATGATTGGTTGAACTGTTGCTGCTGCTGCATCTGGGTCTGGGAGAGCCAGATAGCATGGAAGGAGAGTGCACAAGAACAAAAGGGTCTTGAAAAATGGTAAATTTGGAGGTAGCAGTGTAAATATCATAGTGAGTTTAAGAGGGTTTAATGTAAAACTCTGTGGTGAAGGGAAAGGAGGAAGGTGGGAGTGATGGGGTAATGTTTATCTCAGTTTCTTTCTCCCAACAAAAAAGAAGAGAATATTGGGATGGTATGGGCGTGTTAGACTCTGTTGGGTCAGAGCTCACAACCAAGGAAAGGGAAAGGGAAAGAGAAAGGGAAATGAAGGGCAAAAGTGTGGTGGGGTTGAGCTAAGTTTGGCAGTATGCTACCTCGTTTAGATATAAGCTCAGTGTGCTTATGCCACCTCTATAAAGTTTCAGACAGTTATTAGTAAATAGCTTCATGATGAAATCATTCCTGGAATAAATAAATTTGATTGAGATTGAGGGTGTAGGTTGGTTGGTGCGTTTCATCTTTTTAGAATTTTCACTATGGTGGTAACTTTCTACCTTTTTTTTCTTCCCTTTTTTCTGTCAGTTTCCGAAATCTATCAATTTTTGTTGCCATCACTCATCAGGTATTTTACTATCATCATGTATAAACGTAAGTTTGCCAACAATAAGGTAATATTTTACACCATCTTGCATAACCTAGAATTACAATTATCCATGGTTTAACTATTTCCACCAGTGATTTTGTTGTAATATTCCTTCTCCAGATCCTTGCTTGAAGTCCTACACATAATAATGGGAAGAAATTGTGTACCGTGACTAATTGACTATCGTCCACCCATTTTCTTGTTAGTATCTAGGAGCTGGTAGTACATTTTGGAATGTTTGTGTCGTTAGTAGTGTCATGCTCTCCAAGCCTTGACAATAACTTGTGTTTCCTTGTGACAAATTATTCGAAGGGGACAAAGTTAAACAAAATACAGTTTTAGAATACAGTCTTATACAGCTGCGATTAGGTTATGAATTATTGAAGTTTCATGGTAATAGTTGTTATATTCGGAAGATAATAAACAAAAATTAACTTGAGACCAGTCAATGCTCAAGAACTAAATCAATTGAAATCAATTTTTAGAGTTATGGTGATAAAAATAATAATTTACTTGTAATTGTTATGAAAGTGTTTACATGAGGAGGGGATTGTCAATTCCCAACTCACGAGCTTGAGTAATGGGCCTTTTTCTCTTTTTTCCCCTCACCATTATGTCTTGGTCTCTTGGAACAAAAGTGGGGATATGGTAGCATATCACATCACATGGCCTTATTACATATTTTATATTGTAATTTTTTTTTTTGAATCAAATTCTGCTCCAATGCTTGTCAATAAAGCTAGTTGTTTATTTGAATTGAAAAAGACACGACTGTCTGATGTTTGCTTCTTTATGCATATCGAAAATGTAACAAGGGAAATTCCAGCTGCTAGTTTTTCATATCTCCCCTGTGAATTTTATTGTATCAAATTCAAGGTAATTTTCAAATTACTCTTTTTTTAAAGTTCATATACACCTCCTATTTTATTAATACTTATATAACTCTGCAATTTACATTTACTAATTTGTATATGTCAGCTTAATGTTAGTGTATTATAATTGTTTTACCCTGCTTTTGGGTCTACGTTTTGCAAAAGGTTGTTTATACATGAGCCTCTATCTAGTTGGTGATAAACAGCACTTCTCCCTAATCACTTGAAATAGCGGAAAAAGAAAAAGAAAATCTTACTAATATGTGTTTTAAGAATATCAATTAAGAAACTAATAATTTTTTTAATAAATTAAAATGGTACCTTAAAAATTATGATAAAATATATTAATACTGTTTTTAATAAAAATTTGTCACTTTTAAATCCTTAAGTAGTATCTTAAGAGTAGTAGTTAGCAGAAGAAAAAACATGTTATGAACCTGCCTGATCAACTAAGTTAAGCAATCCCATGGAACTTTGAAAAATCTTTGTAATATAGTAATAATAATCCTCAAATCATAGAATTTAGTAGCTGTGTGTGTGCTCGCTAATTTCAATCATGAAATCGTGAGAATTTCCAATATCCATGAAACTGTAAGGCTTAGATTGATTCTTAAGTTCCAATTTAGTAAATGTTCGTCTGTCCTAAAATATTTTATGCTTTTGAGTTTCTCGGATGCATATATAATTGTGTCCCCACCCACACAACCTGTAAAATATTTGACATCTGTAACTTCAAAAAGACGAAAGTGTTTTTGACTGTTTTCTCCACAGCTCAAACCTCATTCAACCATTTATTCATAAATAGAATTGTGCCATTTCCCTTCTGTAATCTAATCACTTTTCTAAATCCTAATTGCTTCACAACCAAAAAGTGACAAAAAGAAAAGCCAGCTGTTGCCATTGCGTTATCTTATATTCATTATGGGCTTTGCCATGAGCTTTTTGGTTTGTTTCTCTCTTTCTTGTTTTTTCTTTGGTCTTCTAGTTTCTGCCTTTAATCCTCTCTTCTTATACAAACATATATAATATCTCTTATGATCTTCTTTGGTTTTGGTATTTGTTTTATCATTTTTTCATATTACTCATTATATAAAAAAAAATATTAATAATAATCGTTATATGTCAATATGACTTTCTATTTGTCACTTTATCGTTGCATGTCAAATTAGATGTGATGTGATAAATTTGGTAAAATGTACAAAATAAAAGGAAAGAAGATGGATCTTCAACAATATAAACAGTAAAGGGATGTGATACCGAATTCAACTACCCAATGATGAAACATTTTTAAGCTAGAATTTTCCTACAACACGAAATGTGCTGCGAACCTAAAATATTTTAAGTATAATCTTCTTACTAACCCACTAATGCTCGGTGAAATTTTCTTTTCTCTGTCGCAGGCTTTGTAGTGTCTAAAAGCTGCTAAGGAACTCATGGTAGCAAAGCAAAAGGCCTGATTTTCTTTCTCATTATGAAACTTTTATTTCATCTACCAGTTAGTGGTTTCCTCATGTGAACACCTTTACCGCATATTCAGCATAAAAGTTTTTTTTTTATTTTGTTTTCATATTGGATCCTGGTGTTGTTATTACTAGTACTAGTATACAAATATGATACCTGTTTTATGTTCAAGTTTATTCATATTTTTGGGTCGGTGTTGTGAGAGAAGGTTAGCAAAGCAAGGGATTTATTTTAAGTTAAACAGTTTGATTTTACAAAGGCATTGATGTAATGAGAAGATCTTTCATGAATCTAATTTGTTTTAAAATATGAAAGGTACCACCCATAGAGTGAAATACAACATTGTAATGTTAGACTAAGCCTGAAACCACAAAACAGAAGGGAATGTCAATTTCCCTCCCTTGGACAACTCATACCACTCGTTGTAGCAAAATGCTGTCTTCTTTATTGCAGAAAGTTGATTAATGATTAACTTTTGTTGGCTTTGGAAGCCAACAGCTGAAGTGGCGTAGTTAGTGCAATTTTAGAAATGTTTGCTACTTTTGCAACATTGATATAAGGGAGAAAATACTAAAAGAGTAGAAAATATATAATCTCAGCTTAGGTGAAGGTCAAAATAAGTCTTTATAAAAACAAAATCAATATAAAAATAAATATTTTTTTTTTCATTAAGTTAAAAATAATTTATTCAATAATATATATATATATATATATATATATATATATTCTTTTATAACAACTTACTTAAAAGTTTATCTAAATTTAATTATGATCAACTCTCAGCTGGTGCTTCTCTTGTCTTTTTTTTTTTCTTACTCTTCAATCATATCAATGAAGTTTGAAAAACTTGAATAACTTTCCTAAGACCAACAAACCTAACGCAATACCGTGGTAGTTACACAATTTAACCCCAATATAGAGATCTTGAGAGCACCTTACTAGGGAATGAAGGAAAAAGGAATGGGCAGTCTCAATCCCAACCTCCACATAAAACATTCATTGTACTCCATTGACTTCTCTTCAGTAATATTAATTATGTTAACTAAATGAGGGTCAATTCTCTTCAGTAATATTGATCAACCACCAAAACTGAGTTTTTGGGCCAACTACCAAATTTGTGTTTGAAGAGAAGTAGTAAGTTGATGAACAGAATGCTACTACCTTTTTTCACTACCTTAGTTGTGTAATCACACGATTTTTAAATTAGCAATAATGACGCTTTTATTTAGCAACTTTTAATCATTCCTAGTTGCACTACTACTTGTCTATCTTTTGTTTATAAATTTATTCAATGTCTTTTGCGTCTACAATGGTGGAATGTTATTGTGATCCCCTGAGTTTTTATTCTCAACTATATTTATGTCTTAGCATAACTTCTTTCTGGGAAATCATTAACCTAAGCATGATATCTTTTTATAAAGATTGACATAATAAATTTAGTGAGACTAATTACAAACCCAAGTAATCATTCATCAATGAAATGAAAATATGATCTATAAGTATAATAAAATTCTTTTGTTATGTTTTGAGTGATTTTTGTGAAAGAGAAAGTTATGTCATTTAACACATTTACCTGTTTTTTTTTATCATTTACTTATTTACTGTATATAAGTATTAAAAAATATTACATGAATAATGTATTGTGTATGCCTAAAGATCAAGGCCAAAGAAATCTAATGCGAAGTTCCCAGAAGTATCCACCGACTTAAAACCAAAATTATAGTCTTGTTGACTAAATTAAGTCTAATTAAATAATATTTTCATTAATTTAGTTAGTTTGAAATATATTGTTAGTTAATGAACTTGTATATACATATGTATGTATTTGTATTTTAGAAAATAAAATTATTGTAATTAATGATTTATAACTTAAATTATTTTATAATGTTATGATCAAATATTTAATTTTTAATTATATTTATTACATATTGGATATTCTATTACATATTGGACTGTGTGGTCCAGGGATTTTGCCTAGTTTTGTTTCTCTGGGCCTTTTAGCCCCTTTTTGCAGCAAAAAAATTAATATTATGTAGTGTTTAAAAAATAATAACAATCAAATCTAATGCAATCAGCAAAATATCGGATGGAATGCCTTTTATGTTTTTAACCGTTTGTTTTTACATTTTTGCTTGAATACTTTCCAAGGAATGATAATCAAATTGTATTATTGATTATTTATTA